CGTCGGTAACCAATGAAAACACGGAGATGCGTGTAGGGCCGGCACGCGGCTTCAAATTCGGCCATGGCGCGAGGAGGAAGAAGCTGAAACTTCCCTCCCACACTGGCAGTTGAGTATAGAGCGAGCTCTATATTGGGGCTTTTCAGCCTCCAAATATGTAGGCTACGAGGTTGCTTATGAAATGAGTTTGGGAAATTATGGCGATCGGGAGCAATATAGCGACTTTGTTAGAGTGACATGTTGACCAAAGTTCACCTTATTGTCTGTTATTATGGCGATGGAGGCCATATGACAACTCTGCTAGAGTTGCTCTTACAAGTTGATAAGTTTGAAAAAAATTGCAACTGGTTCCATACAACAACAGTAACATAATTCAATCCAAACAATTGAGCTCTTTGACTAAACCGATTTGGGTCAAGGTTAGAAACTACTACTAATTAGGGAATAATTGGACAAAAAATGGACACACCAACATGAGCAAGTGACAAAGCAAAATGGCACAAAAATTTGAATGAAGCCGCAAAAGAAATCAATCGACTGTAAAATAGCATAACCGAATTCTTTCGGTGCAATCTTACCGACATGGTAGAAATAGGATGTTTTTTCTTCTCAATTCCATTTCTCCCCTTTTCCTCCATAATTCCTCCGATCCACGGGCGTCACAAAAAGTTGCAGTTGTATGGTTGAAACTTGAGTGCAACGGGAGGTCATGACACAAGCAAGCTCAGGCTGGGTTGGGTTTAGCCACTACTCGAAGATGGTTGCTGAGTATTGATGCAGTAGTTGAAGAGTAGACTTGCAGCAGCATTGTCAAGCAGGTGCGAGCTTGTTTAATCGAGGCGGTCGAGTTAATTGATTCCGAGCAATTCTCCATGAGCCAACTGGTACCTACAGTAAGCTAAGAAGCGCCCTGCCTTTACGTTGCACCATACAAGTGCAGGTAGCAGTACACCACTTGGTCTTAACAATTGCGCAGTGGCAACAAAAAGGTTTACCTAACCAGTAACCACTGATCATGGATGGACCGGCCAGTAGTTGCATCAGCCGTCAGCAAGCCTCCACAGCCGTTTGCACGTTTGCCATATTATATTTAGATTGCCTAGTAATCCTTTTCATGATCCCTGCGCGTAGTATCACTATGCTATTGATTGGTACCGCTGATTTCAAGGAAAGGTTGATTGGATTCCTGCAAAACAGAGAAGGTTGATTGATATGGTAGGGTTTCAGTTTGACAGATCAGTTGATGTCAAAATGGGGCGTGCAAAAGCTTGACAGTCAGTATTACATGCTTCTTTTACTCGTCGTCTCGCCATGCTTAGCTGCGATCCACCACGTACCCGGTACTAAAGTGCACCCGATAACTTATTTAACTAGAAGCACACCAAGTTTCCAGTTCATCGGCCTCCTGAGTCCTGATGCTGCTCATTATAAAAACTAATTGGGTGATTCAGCCTGCACAAACTAGATGCGATTTTGCATCATGGCAGAGCGAGAGAGATGCGTCGTGATTAGGTCAAAAGAAAACAGGGGAGAAAGTGGGCAGAAGGAAAAATGGCTACTGCTAGATCTTAGGCACCCTCCTTTCTCTGTGGACTGAGTTCTCTAGGACAGGATTAGGTGCTTAATAGAAAGAGACATGTCATGGTGCAGAAAGAGGTGTGATATATGGCGGAGAAAGTAAAGTACATACTACAAGGCCGTGTTGCGGAAACACATTTCATTTCATCAGCCTGTCGGTGGGTTAGGTTGATCGATTAGGTAACGCACGGAAACTAAACCATACTGCGAGCTGCAGTGGTACAAGTACAACAGCATATGTCCTCTTATTTAGAAGGCGACGTAAGAGCAACTCCAAGGGAGAGACCCATTTTACCCGTTTGGCTCATCCGGACACAAAACTTCACCCAAAGAAGCGACTTAAACGAACGTCCGTGTCCGCCTGCTGTCCGCCCCTGACCCAAACTTGACCCAAATCTAAAAACAAATGGGTTTGAAGAGGACAGAAGCGGACGCTCTCGTCGACCGCTGTCGTCCGCTCGTGTCCGCCCATGGTCCCACCTAGCAGTGACTAACCACGAGCTGGCGTCTAGCTCCACCCAGGAGGAGTGAGGCCACCGGCGAGACCAAATGCGCAGGCGGCCGCCGCGCTCAACGGAGAGCCCCCGAGCACCTCGCCACGCTTCCCCCCGCGCGCCGCCGTGAGCCGCGCCACCTCGCTCCGCCCGCCGCATGCCCCGCAGCTCGCCTCCACGACCGCTGCTCTGCCCGTGAGCCACTCGTGCGCGCCGCACCCCGCGAGCAGGAGGTGGTCGAGCGGGGCGGCGAGCAGGAGGCGCGGGACAGCACGACCACCGCGTCCGGAGTCAGGGGCGGCGTCGCGGCCGACGACAGCGAGACGACTGCGTGGAGGAGCGGCGGGGCCCGACGGCGTGAGGGGGAGCGGCGGGGCCCGACGGCGTGAGGGGGAGCGGCGATGCCCGACGGCGTGAGGGGGAGAGGAGGGGCGGCGGATGGATGCCTGCAGTGTCTACTCTGTCTGCTTTTAGGTTCTTGCGTTGGATGCCCGCAGTGTCCACCCCATGATCGCTTGGCGGATAGGAGACCCAAACGGACAAAACACGGACAAAATCCGTGTCCGTTTGGGTCCCTGCGCTGGAGTTGCTCTAAGGTATACGGTAAAACATTTCGTGACGCAGCTCACCGATTTTTTTTCAAAACTATGACGTATTTTGTAGCAATTTCGGAAACTATAGCACAGAATGAAAAAAATGCAAAACTATGACCCTGTCGGCCACGTGGAGGCCGAAAAGGTAGTTTTCGGCCAACTGTTGGCCGAAGTAGTGTTTTCGGTCGTGCCATGGCTGAAAAGTGCTTGAGCTGGCCGAAATGTCTGTTTTCGGTCTACACTAGGCCGAAAAGTATTTTTTGGTCTACTCTAGGCCGGAAAGTACTTTTTGGTCTACACTAGGCCGAGAAGAACGAGAGAGAGAGAGAGAAAGGAGAGAAAGAAGAACAGCAGCGACACAGGAGGAAGAAGCCACCGCTCGGGCTTATCCAGCCTTTTCGGCCTACGGGTGGCCGAAGTACACTTCGGCCTGGGCTGGGCCGAAAAGGGCCCATTTCGGCCACCAGCTGGCCGAAGCTACTATTTTCGGCCGGGCCACCACCGACAGCAACTCTTCGGCCCACCACAGCTCGTTTTCGGTCAACCGTGGGCTGACGTCCTCTTTTCGGCCGAAGGCTGGCCGAAAAGTCCCTTTTCGGCCCAAGCGAGGCCGACATGGTCATAGTTTTGCATTTTTTTCATTCTGTGATATAGTTTCCGAATTTGCTTCAAAAAAGGTGATAGTTTTGAAAAAAAATCCAGCTCACCGGGCTGTTTTCAAGTGGTTTCAAGAATAAACTTGAGCGTCAACGTCTGCAGAAGGTGTGGTTAGGTCTTAGTCGACTGAGATTTAATCAAGTACGTAAAAAACAAAGAAAATACTGAGAAAAAAAATACACTTATCTTAATGCATAATCTCACGAATATAGCATCGACTGAGCTAACAAAGTCTTAATTGACCGAGACTTATCAAAACTGTTTCGCAAATGTTTGGGTGACAGGGGCAGGGCAAGAGCACAAGTGGAATTCCCATGAAACCGAGACAGATACTGCATGGCATGAATATTCTCTGCCGGGCTGTTGCCGCCTGCCAGTGCCCCTGGCCAGTCAATCAGCCCTGCTAGATTAAGGAGCAGGAACAACAGAGACGCATCAGCATCAGAGACTGGAAAGGAGGAAACTGAAAACGAGACATCAATGAGAAAAAGAGAGAGAAATGAGACAGAGTTGCTAAACAAACAAACCTGGAGGAGTGGTGCCAACAAAAGCGAGCGCAAAGGCGAAGCTGAAAGCTGCCTTCCCATCCATCCATCCATCAATCCGCGCGCTTTCTTTTCTTTTAAAGCGCCTCTTCTTCCTCCTCCTTCCCTTTCCCTGAAGCTACCGGCCGCCACTGCTGCCCGCGGGACAGGAGCAATGAAGAAGATCAAGGCGGCGCGCGGGGGAGCGGCGGCCACGGCGCCGACCGACTTGCTCGTCTGCTTCCCCGGCCGGCAGCACCTGGCGCTGATGCCCAAGTCGATGTGCAGCCCGTCCAGGGCCACCCTGGACAAGGCGGTGGCCGCGCGCCGGAGGCAGCTGCAGCTCCCGGCCGCGCCGGCCACGCGGTACGGGGGAGGAGGACGTGGTAGTACTAGTAGCCCGCTGTTCCGCGGTTCTAAGGCGAAGGAGACCGTCGGGGACGACGAGCCGCAGTCGCCCAAGGTGACATGCGCCGGGCAGATCAAGGTCGGCCGGCCAAAGAAGCCGAGGCCCATGGTGGAGAAGCACGTCAAGGGCGACGGCGGCAGTGGGGGCAGGTGGGTCACCGTGGCGGAGGAGATCGAGCGGCTGCAGGAGCGGAGGAAGAAGGCGAGCTGGCTAGAGACCGTCGGGATCAGGAGGGACGCGCTGCCCTTCCTCGGCGGCGCGCTCTGGAGCCTTCGGCACAAGGTGAGGTGCTTCGGGTCGTCGCTCCCCGCCGCGGTGGACTCTTCGACGGACGACGACAATGACGTGGAGGAGCGCGAGCGCAAATCCGCCGCCGCGAGCGTGTTCTCCAAGTGGCTCATGGTGCTGGAAAGGAGCCATGAACCCCACGAGCAAGACGACAACGACGACGAGCTAGACCAAGAAGACGGGCGGCCGAGCAATGAGGCGGGAGACGACTGCTCCAAAGCGACGTCCGTGCCTCCGCCGTCGAACGCGCTGCTCCTAATGCGGTGCCGGTCGGCGCCGGCGAAGGGGTTGGCGAGGAAAGGAGCAGAACCGGCCGGCGAGGAGGCCACGCAGGAGAAGGGGGGCATGGAGGAGAAGAGGGACGAGCTGGTGTTCATGAGAACGGCGCCAGACTTCCTGAAGCTGTCCATCGACATCGCCAAGGAGACGTGGGTCGTCGGCGGCGTGGACCCCCTCGCGAGAAGCCGGAGCTGGAAAAGGTGACCTCTAGTCGCGCGCCGGTAGCCGTTGTACAGAGCTCGACGTATACCTTCCTTGTGCCTCGCCGGTTCCAATGTTTATTTTCCGCTTTGCAAAGCATAAATCCGAGCTGCAGAAAATGTTGTACGGTAGTATGTTTCTCCGCGATTCAATGTCGACACGATCGTAAGAGAATCTGTGATTGATGCACAAGTGACGCGGTGATGAAAGGGACATGGCTTGTTGCGCATTGGAATGCTAAATCAATCTAGGCATCTAGTGATCTGCACGCATCACAATCACAACCAAAAGAAACAGAGCAGAAATCAGAACCGCGGGTCGTCCGACGCTGCAGAGTGAGAACCTGAATGTTGCATGCATCGGAATTACTACTACTGCGGCCTCAGCGTGGCAAAACCTGCTACGGTTACATCACCATCGCAAGATCACGAAATAATCAGCATATGATAACGGATTGGTCTCTCGATCTACATCCCAAACTGCAGGCATCAGTTTACACTTAACTTGTGCATACACCGAAGGGTGGCTAAAGATCCGCATACATGTCAACACCTAGCAAAGCAAAAGTAGCGTAAAGAAATGAGTGTGCCCAACTCGTAATGGCGGCAGGTGGAGTATGTCCAGCTGTGGCCAGACACGGCATATAGATATCGAGTACTGCAAAAGGGAATCGGCAGTGAAAGCTCTCCTAGCCCTGGTCACTTACACACCCTTGAAAAGCTAATTTGCTCACAGATCGGAACGCTTGTGCTAAACATTTGTTTCTCTGAAGATATGATCACATGACAGAACATGGGCTGTAAAGCTTCTTGTTCACCTGTTCATCCAAAAGGCATTATGAGTTCCTGAGTCCGTGCTACGGAACATGATTACATTAGTTTCAGCGCATCGAGTTAGATGAGGACACGATGGTGTGAAAATCACTCAGGCAGGCATTGCCAAACTGCAGGTGATCTGTAAATTCGTAAAAACATTCGTTGCGTGAGGCACTCTACACTTCTGCTCCAGTCTAGTTATACAGCAAAGAGCGATGATAGGGATAATAGGATCCTGAATCACTTGAAGGCAGGGCAAAATGAAGAGTTCGCCATGTCACCGGCAAGGCTGCACAGGGGTAGGGGATGACCTTCAGAGCAGACATTGGAAACTACCGATACCGAAGAATTAGGCCCTGCAACAATTGTTGTAGCAAAACTGTGTTAGCACCATTACTTAAACTTGCACATCAAACTCTTTCATGCACACACACAAAAATTGTGCAGAATACGATGTGTGATCTATCTACAGAACAGTAGAAATTTTAGATGAAAATCAGAAAGATTGTACAAAAAATCTGCCCTGTGTGCTGTGTATGATCAAGTGTAAGTCTTGATCAAATGACAATAATAAATGAAAATAATGTGGAAAACAATACGCTGCAACAAAAAATGGATGACACTGACATATTAAAAAAAAATCAGCTAGCAGCAGGGTCTAAAACTTAGAAGTAGGAATTACACAAATAATTGGTGATAAAAAAATGAGAAGCACTTCTTGACAAGTATTACCAATTAACGATCAGAAGATAAATTCTTTCACCATCACATCTGCAAAGCCACCTAAGGTAAGAAATGTTAAAATCTATTAGTACGCAGATACTTGCTACTTCCAGAAAGGAAAAAAGATCAGCAAATACAAAAAAATACAGGTATGCTTTAATATCTCAGATCATAATTAGTTGAAGCAAATAAAATCAAGAGGTATACCACAGGCAATCTACTAGACTACTTCGCTGCTGAATTAGATGCTTTCTGGATCTCCGTTGTTATCGCCTCAGCAAGGTCTGATGCCTTATACTCAGCTCCAAAGCATCTTACTGTCTCCAGGCATGGATCTAGCAAATACCTGTAACTCAAGACAGTCAAGTTCTTGAAGCTTTATCAAAAAAGTAAGTTAAATGAAGACTCTCGTGTGCTCTTACATGTTATGAGAACTTTCTACAATATAATCCTGACCAACTTCACCAACTTTTTTAAAGAAAATGCGGTATTCTTGTGCCATCTGTCTTATTGCATCGACTGAGCCTGTTAATCCTGTTATTCTTGGGTCGAATTCTGCAGTTCAAATGAGACTAATTATCACTTACAAATATAGCGCAAAACTGACGGTTCCAATGACATAGAACAAGCATAGAGGCTTACCACTAAGATATGCCTTAAGCTGAGCAGGTGAATCACGTTGAGGATCAAGTGTGACGAAGAGTGGTTTAATCTTGATATCATACTTTGACTCTATGAAACAAAAATAAAAGGTTTGTAAGAGATCATGAAGATAACAAACCAATAAGCAGAATATAGCACACAGAAAGTAGATGCTTTAAATTGCGGATTGTCAGCAATTTTAAGTACAACAGACAATTAGTAGTTCAGGCTGGAGCACGACTGAGATAAGAAAAGGATTAGTTAAAATAGCTTCGAGAACATAATTGTGACAAAGAACTTAATACTAAGTAACGCAAAGAACTATATATCATTGGGAATTAGCATCAAATGTTTTAGCGAAATTGGATGCTTTTAGCCCAAATATAATGAACAAACATGCATTTGTCCACTCATAGACCAAAATAATCATATGCAGTATGCATAATAAGGGTGTTAACTAATATTTTGGAACAGAGGTAATAGATCTGTACAAGAACAGAGAGATAATGATGTGATAAAAAAATAACAAGTAATGCGAAAAGATGAGGTGCTTCCAATGGTGTATTCAGGATGTGGTATATAGCAACACACCTAACAGCTTAACAACATCAGCGATCTTCTCAACTTCGTTCGGCCCCACATCTGGGGATGATGTATAGCCAAAATACATCAGCGTCCAATTCCCTCGAAGCTTTGATTCAGTCACCACATTGTTTTCTGTATCATAGAGCTTAAATGGTCCTCCGATTGCAGGTCTGTTGGTAGTGCACCTTTTGGGAATACTGTTCTGTTGTGCTTGTTTACCTGGAAACACCATGATATGAAAGAATATAGAAATAATAAACTCAATAAGACACAATAAAGGGTTAACGAGAACTGTTTTTCGTTCAAGCTAAGCTACAATGTACAGCTGAAAAGTAATAATGAAAACTGCATCTCACAGAAGCGAAGAAACTCTGGTATTCTAATATTAAGAATTTTTTTAAAGCAACACTGACTGCCAAAGTTAAACTGGCTGAAAAGATTAATACATCAAAATGTATTACTTCAGGAAGAACAAGAAACATCACTTCTGAAGAATTTGTAAGTACCTAAGGGAACTGCACGCTTCTCATCATTATAGTGAACATAAGTGGCTAGTCCAGCAAAGGCTAGAATGGCAGATGGCTGCAAAACCAACATTCACATGTACATAAGAATATGATGTTGGGCCAAATCACAGTCCACATGTCAAATAAGAAACTATTGAAGTTCACCAATAAGCCATGATAATAGTTGCCAATACCGTAAAAAGTATGATAAATCGTAGTTAAGGGGAAACTGATAAAATAGGAAGATTGAGCAGGCCAGGAAAGCAACATACGACAATGTAATATATTAGTGGCTGAGAATTTGACTCGTTCTCTTCAGCAAACTGTCTCATCGGTCTATCATACTTGGAGCTTCCTCCGGTAGAATAACCTCGAGGCTGGTAACCCCGCACCGGAAATTGCCTGCACAACCAAATTCTAAGGATTACAAGAACTGCAGAGTTAAACAAAGAGAGAATGCCTAGGTTGAACAACATACATGCAAACAGGCTTCTGAGAATATCGACAGGTAGGAAGCATTCAGATCATTCAGGATTTAAATTAAAGCTTATAATAAAGTAATAAAATGATGAGTAATGACTAACGACATTCAATCCAAGGTCTATCATCCATAAGGGGCAGAAAATGATTATCAAATGAAATTCGCCATGGTATAGCTTCAATAATTCATTCCTACCATGATGTGGGCACTTATGCCAGTCAGAGCCATCAACAACAGAGCATGTAAATCAACTACAAAATGTTAAACAGCAGTGCAGCGAAACTGAACAGCAGGACATGACCATAACCGACCCACATATCAAAAGCTATTTTAAGCAATCACTAATCACATACACACACAAAATGCAGCACCTGAATCCGAATGAAGAACAAAGACTGCATAGCGAGGCATAAAGCGTGCAGGGCACACACAATTGCGGCGATTCACTAACCATACTTGACAGAAATTTCCCCTCCAGTTAATTTACTCCCAACTCCGACCAGTCTACACAGCGGTGTTACAGGCCCGAATCCTCCACGTTCCTACAACGCACAGACGGCTCGCGTCCTTCCCCAGGCAGAGCCACCCTACGGGCCTGACCAGCAACCGAAACGAGGACCGGGCCGGACGAACTAAGGACGCCACCGCGGAAACGCCCGATGAGGCAACAGCACAAACAGGTAGCGCGCGCAGGACAGGAGCATCACGCGGAAAAAGTGACCGAGACACGAGGTAAGCCAGCCTTACCTGGTCTGCCACGGCGGGGGCACTCCGGCCGCACGGGCGGTGCCGAGGCGGCGTAGCAGCGAGAGCTTGAGGAAGCGCGCGGGCAGCATGGCGGTGGCCCGGGAGGAGGCTCCGGAGCGAGGCGGGGGCGTCGGCAAGGGATGGAGTGGAACTGTAGGAGGGGAGTATTTTGGAGGTTTTGGGGGGTCTCGGCTCTCGGTCGGCCGTGTTCGACTTCTTCTGGTCCAAGAAAGCAGGTTTGATCTTCGTGCAGCCCAAGATATCGTTTTGCTGGGCTGGCCGGTTCATTTTCACAGTCTTTTATTTTCTTTATTAATCTTTAAGGAAAACATAGAACGTTTCACTTTTTTTTTCAAGTTAGGTTTCACTTTTTCTGAGAAGTAAATTTTACGAGTATCTTCGTGTTCGTGCTATCTCTACTCCTAATGTCTCAGTTGGTAGGTCGCGTTCCGAGTTTTATTTTCGTCCCACCATTTTCGTCCGGGTTTTTTCCGTCCTCAATCCCATCTCCCACATCCCACCGATTCCCCACCTCCACCTTCGTCCGGTTTAATTTCGTTGGTTATTTTTCATCGAGTTATTTTCCGTCTCGCCTCTCTGTCTCCCACCGATTTTTTTATCGTTCAGCCCGCACCCACGAGACGCTCCTCTCCTCCCTCTCCTATGCGCTCGATCCCCTCTCACGCCTAGGGTTCGTAGAGGTTGCGCCGCCACCGCTCGGCTCGGCCTCCTCCTTCCCTTCCCTCCCCCCACCTCCAGCCACACCCGTCCGACCACCTGCCGGATCCCGCGCCGCCATGCCCTGCATCGCTCCAGTCTTTTCCCACAACTCACGCATCGCAACGGCGCTCGCGCCCGCGCGGTCTCCTCCATGACCTCTCTCCCTTGCGGCGGCGGCACACATGACCCATCCGACGGCGAGCTTCACAGGTCAACGCATCCTCTCTTCTCTCCCATGGAAGTCCCTTCCCTCTCACATCTCTCTCTGTCTGCGAGCGGTGGCGGCCGGCTGCGCGAGAGGTCGATCTGGTCACGCCTTCCCACCATCGTCCGCGCTGCGTCGCTATCGGAGGGACACCCTGCCGCTGTCGGGGACTCGCCGTCATTGAAGCACGCCACCACGCCGCCGCACTTCTGTCTCTCCCTGCTCGCCTCCCGCGGCCAAGGAGCGTCCCAACCTCGCCATGTCGCTCGTGTGGCTCCCATGGTGCCGCCCCGCATAGCTCCTTGCTGAGCGCCGCAGGTCATGATGGCCGCCGATTTGATCTGCACAACCACTCAATCCTCGGAACTCCCGATCGACGCCAACTCGACCGGGGGCTGGGGTGAGAAGACTGCGACAATCCAGATGAGGAAAATCACGTCGTGGACGATTGCCTCAGCCCTCAGGGTCCTTTGTTGTCACGGCATGGTTGACCCTGTGCTGCGGGCCGGCGAGGTCGTTGAACTTGCCGAAGGCATCGCCAAGCTTCTATCTCTAGGTTAGATTCGGGCACCTGTAATCTATGTGCATCATATTGCTCATCGTTAGTTCGGTTGTGCCATTTTTTTGATTACTGTATGCCAGAACACCTAGCTTAATTAGAGCTCACAACCACAGTAATCATCCATTTATGCTGCTCAAACAGTTTCTCATGTGCTCTCTAATTTAGTGCACACACATTTTGACTGAGTGGCAGAGATATAGAGAAATTGTTTGATTTTGGTGCAACATGACTCTGATGATTATTTTTTGTTACCTTTCCTATTTAGATCTGCACCAATCCTTGTCAGAAAATTGAGAAGTCATGGCATAGTCAAATCTGAACAAGCCGTGTGGAACTTCGCCATGAGTCTGCGCATGAATTTGGGAATGGACGGATGACACTCCAAAGAAGTCAGAGAATATTTTCAACGCGCAACAGGACAAGAGAAAAGAAGAGAAGCAAAGAGAGGTGGGTTATCGCTCCTACATTGCTTACATGAACATCTTGATTTTTTTAGAAAGAAGGCATAGACCCGACATTAAATTAATGACACCCTGAAAAATAGAAAAGGCAAAAGAAACACGATACAAGGTGCATGGTGCTGTAGGATCAGCTTACAAGACATGAAACAAACCATGCAATATAAAAATATAACAGAGTGGATTTTCTACTCCCAGATGCACCTACACCATTCATGAAACAGTAAATTCAAAAGAAAATGAAAAACAAAATCAAAAAAATATGAAATTTTGAGACATGAAACTAGATCAAAAGTTTTAGCATCTTGCAAATTTTTCACCACGAAATAACATTCGTGGTGAAAAATGAGGCGTAAGTAGATTCACTCATTTTGGTTCGTAAGTAGTCCATATTGAAATCTATATAAAGACTTCTATTTAGGAACGGAGGGAGTACAAAAGAAACGCCTCTTGATCGTCGAAGTCCTCAGGCATGAAGCGAAACACCAATGAGGCGTAAGTAGATGATGAAAACATAGCAAGCACCGCGCAGGAGTGAGATCACATCAATCAATATTGATTTGTTTGATTTGATGAATATTCTACCATTTGAAATAAATCTGAATGTTATTGTTTATTATTCTTATGGAGTGTTTGGCAGTGTGAGCATGTAGTATAAGAGTACCTTATCCGTTCAGCGGGGTGCTCCAACTTTTGATGCTGGCAAAGCTTTTGCAATGATGGCTGCATCCTCCATCATTTGTTAGTCTCCGTTGGAGGTTTAATCAAACTGAAGTAAATATGCTAGATTCTTTTGTCAAATAAAAACATGACTGTCTATTTTGCTTGTCAGGACCAAGATCTCTAGCTATCGATGAAATTTTCAGAGTAGTTTTTGTTGCCTTTGTGTAACCCTGATAGCAGCTTCTTGAAAGGTTCAGATGTGTGGCAAAGGATTTCAATTTTCCTGTTTACACAAAGGAAACTCAAGGAAGGTTCAGATTTCTCATGCTTGGTTCTGTGCTCTCAGGGTTACATAGACAAAAATGCCTCCTATTTACACAAAGGCAACTCGAGGAAGGTCCAGATTTCTCATGACTGCTTCTTCGGCATTTTATGCCTGTACCATCTTATTAGAAAATATAGTTTGTTTTATAGCTGATGATGCTTGATGCTTTTATTGATCACTAAATGCTCAGTTCTAGCTCATAAACTATATGGCAAAAGCTAATTCCGATGGGTCTGATGCAAATAATTTTCATCTTTGGACATGCCTTTAGTTGATTATTTAATCCTTTTATAAGAATCTATTTAGCTTTGTATTGTTGCAGTTTCACTATATATCCACTTACCAATGCATCTAAAGATTCAACAATGTAGAATCCAGCACCAGTCTTGAGACTACAAATTGTTTCTTCATTCCTCCGTGCTGCACTGTAGGTGATAAGGGGTCGAGGTCGTATGTTCGTCATGTCATCAATACACATCACTTTCCTTTTCCTTTCCCCTTTTTCTGCTCTTGCATTTATTTCTTCTTCGTGCACCTCTATGTCTACTGCTTTAATATGGTTCTGATTGGTGCCCTGCATATTCCAAGATATATGGATTTTGGTCGAGACAGTCATCACATAAGTAAAATGCTATCAACCTCTCAATTTCTGAATGGATTTGTTAAATTGCCTTTCTCTTGTTGGATCACATACCTGATTTGTTTGTTGTCCTTGAAGCAAATACCATGACATGAGCTTGAAGAATTCAAAGATACAGAAGGTTGACAGAAAGAGGATACACTGATTTCAGCTGCGGACACTGAGCTGAGTCTCTCCCTAGCAGGTAACTCACCTTTCAACATATTCATTGCAGAAGCAGAAACAACGGGATACATGACCTGAATACTTGCATTCTGACATGTTTTTGCCCGTGCCTCAAATAGGAATGATGTCCATGCTGTTAACCTCTACAAATTACCCACACTTCAGATAACCCAAGGTCTGGAACCCCAACAAGTTTAGTACGTAGCAAATGTAACTTCTTCTCTAACAAAAATAATAATGAGAGGCATGTTACAGTTAGTTTTACCCTGAGAATTGATCATCATTCATGCAGATGTGTGCTTTGCAAATCGACTGACCTTTTTTGTCTTCTGTGAATAGATGTTGAATGCTAATATAAATCTGCTATATGTCTCAGCAAAAATGTGGACTTCATAATTTGTCTTTCAATGGTGCATAGTTCAATTTTGTCTTCCTAATTTATACAGTATCAGCTCATATGACGATTTATCTCATAAATATGTATTCACTCTTACAGCACCACCATGCATGTTTTCTACACTTCTACAGCAGTCCATCTTTCAATTTTGATTTGCATAACCATGCATATATAGTGTATTGAAGCAGCAAATGGCATTTATCATGCTGCTAAAATAAGCATCAAAATTGAAGAGTGTATTGTACCAGTGGGAGAAGTTAATGTTCCACGGAATTGCTAATCCCGTCTCGAAGGTTTAATGTTTGTTATTGACCTAAGAGAAAATGGGTTCTGCATCTCTGATGTGATGTATTTCTAACAAACAATGACAAAATGCATGGGTAATTACTCTTATATAGTTTGATGCTTGAAAAGTTGTAGAGTCGGCGCCTCTCTTTGAAGTGTACATGATGTAATAAGAACAAAAAATAAAGAAGCATCTTGAGTACCATGCCCACATACAGTGTTAATGCCCACAGCTCTATTTTGTTCCATTAGAAAATACAATTCTATTTTGTTACATTCAGGTAATGTTATATCATGCACGTGTGTTACATGTGTATCTCTCTACTTTGTGCTCCAGATTTGTTTCCCTACAATATGGCAGATTAATGTATATTCTTTTGAAGTCATAGTACATTCATGGTCTGTATATATGTTTGTATGCTGCCAACCTGAGTCCGGTAGGCAGCGGCTGATTTTTTCATTTGCTATCTTTATATTTTTCAAAGCAATTTAATCTCTTATCTTGCACCTGTGATGAACCTACAATCTAGAGCACAAGGAAACTATAGATAATTTGTTCTATTGCCTCTGTGAACTTGATATATATACATGTATTGTTCGTGGCAACGCACGGGCAACGCACGGGCACTCTACTATAGATAAGAGAGACAGAGGAGGATCAGACTGATT